AGCCGTATCCCCAGGAAATACGCTCAATGCTCGAATCAGAAAACATTATGCTATCAGATGATTACTAATAGCCTAAAGAGCACTGTCCTGCAAGGTTTAAGCATAAATTAAAGGATCAAAAAAGATCATAAGATCAAAGGAGCTCTCTAACAAGTAAAACATTTTTGAGCCGTTTGAAACTTGTGCTATAATTTGAGCACTAAAAACTCTAACGAAGAAATTTTGTCCAGTGGAATATAAACTACACAAGGAAAAAATACGTGGTTTCATAGAACATGGTTTTGTCTTGAATGTTAAAGTGTTATAAAGGAGTGTTTTGAAAAACCGACAACGTGGGACAGTAGCATGGAGTTTTAGCTTTCGAATAGTTGCCTAGACTCCTATAGAAACTTCCTCTCCAGCGATTGAGGTCTGTTTTTCATTTGTTTCTTCCCAATCAGAATGAACCAAATGTGTCTAACAACCAATCTGTGGCAACCGTGAAGACGAAAACTTCAGGCAATGTCGAATCAACATGTGAAATGTCTGAAGATCTTTGTGAAGGATCAATGCAACGTAACGGATCAAATGCAAGAAAGAAATGCTGGGATTCGTACGAAATTCTGATGACGAGTCGTGTGAGGAAAAAGATTTCACAGTGATGAGCATTTTTGTTGCCATTAACATGCAGATCTCTTTACATATGTGCAAAGGTACTATGTCCCACATTAACATGTCGCCAGTGTGGTGAAATAAGACATACTTTATCAAAAGTTTCATTAAGAAACTACGAAGAACTGACAGAACGATGAATAGATGAAAAGTTTGCTTTAGGATCGGCTTTTCGACGGTCTTCGACGTCTTTCAAAAAACCAGTTTTTCAAGACAGAAAATCGGCGTGAACAATAAAAATCGTGCAGAAGATTTGACCAGATTGATTGTCGATGAATGTGACCTTTGCAGAGTTTGGAAAAGAGCAAGTTGCTCACTAAACAGATAATGTCAAATAAATCTCGTTTGATGGTGATTTCTTGTCTGTTCAAGGATAAAAAATTAGAAACGAGTACATTGATCACTAGGGAAATGAAACGCAAAGGCACGTGAGCACGTTACTTATCCAATGTTCCACCGCTGCCTAACAAATACTAGCCTCCTTGTCTCATCGGGTAAATATCGCCCTGTCTAATTGATGAGCTCAATACTTGATTAATTGGAAGGAATAATTGCAGATGTACCAACCTGTGGGAGTACAACTGTGTCGAATAAAGAAATGGCAGTACCGAAGCGTTGGTAGTGCAATAGTTAGCAGGCATCCTCGGAAAGAGTAAAATGCAAGTCAGAATCTCGTATGTCGTTCAAAGTTCCGCATATCACTAAATATTAATGATTAATTTGCGACTTTTAATGAGATATTGAGATTATCGTTTGAAGAGTGTAGGCAATACACTTTGGCCTCAAAACTGAGGCACAAATAACAAAAGTCATGAGAGCTAATCGTTAACATCCCATTCCTGCAGATTGTTAACCAAAGTTTTGGTTCCCATTTAACACCCCCCACCCCTTGGAAAGCGTTTGATAAGAAAAGACGTGTGAAAACGGCCGAGTTTAACGAAAAATGATCGCAACTGTAACACTGTTGCCCGTGGTTAGCGTAAAATGAGCTTCGAACGTCATTCTTGCGTCATTGGTGCAGACGATTCTTAGCATTTCAAGACCTTGGGTATGGCGTGTATCCGTTCGTGCAAACGAATATCTATAGGCTTTTTGCTGGGCAGAGTTTTCCCACTCATCCTCCAGTAAAGGTCGAATACCTTGAACGTTGATCTCAACAGGTACTTGGCTGTTTTAAAAAAGCATCCTTGGTGACGGCAGCAGCCAAGAGAACTTCGTTTCACTTCCGACGCTCCTTATTGGCTCGCTCTAGGTCTTTGAATAATTTTCACTAGGGCCTTGATAATCATGCCATAGCAGAAACCCACTAATTTCATGTTTAATGAAAAACGTCTTTGCATGGCGTTGTAAAAGAAAGGGAATGTTATTTATTCGCACAAGCTAAGTTATATATGCATTAGATGCATGTGAGTATTCAGAAGAATTGGTGATGTGTAGATAAAACAAAACATGTTTTTTTCCGAACGCCGAAAAAATTTCTAGTTAATCAACGAAAACTGCGTTCCCTATGAGACAGCGATTCAAATCACTAGGCGCACAGCGTTCGAGAGAGGAGTGAATTTCATAAATATACGGTTTGATGTAGAGTGATGTACAAAACTTCCACGTCAGGCGAAACTCGAACCCACATCTCACTCATCCGGAAGCGCGTGCACTAACCCGTTACACTGCTGTTCGATTGTTTTGTAACTGGTTTGTGAGTTTTGCACATTATTTCACATCATTCGGTATTTATGACATCATAGCACAGCTCGAAACGGTAAAATAAAGAGCAATTCTATTTGTTCTTGTTTTATATTACAATTATACCTCCTCTAGAGTTCATGCAACGGAATGACTATTATGAAGGAGAAACGTAGTGCACTTTTTATCGCCACGTCACATCAAAAAAGCTCTTTGAAGCGTGAAGCTTCCCAAAAGCTCTCTGAGGTGAGAACTTCTCTTTGAAATTTGAAATTTTCGGGAAGGGCGGTGGGGGACTAGAATAACTCTCGAGAGAGTATGGAACACACACTCGACTGAAATCAAACATATTAGAAGTTAACAGAGCTCCGATCGCTATGGACACTAATCCAAGCTCTGATTAACGTTATCTCTTAATGAATAATGTAGCAACACTCGAGACATATCGAAGAGCATCTGAATATCAGATTATCATCAGGACCAAAGAATGTATTGAATTACTCTTAGTCAAACAGTTCTGAAGTATCAAGCGATTGTTTCCAAAATCAAAAGCCATATCCACTCAGTTGTCAAATCAACGCTTCTCAGGATTACTCACACCAGCAGAGTAGATTTTTTCACAATTCAGCACAGTTTCGAAATCGGCATTTTTTAAACTCCGAATAAATGCAAAAACATAGATATTCTAAGAAAAAATGCTCAATTACATGATCTGACGATAAATTTTGAGTTTTCTACAAGGTCTTTTATGGGCGCTTACACAATGCATGACCGTATTTCGGCTCTACAGCCTCGTTAGTTACACAGTGCTTTTTCGTTCAGTCAGCTCTTTGGGGACCTACCCTTATACGAAGGAGTCGAAAACGAACTTTTTGCACTCTGCGTACGGTGGCATCACACGTCTCAAAAGAGTGCACTATAACTGACAACAGTATATATAAAAACTGAAAATTATAGCGCAACATGGAGCACACATAGGTTGACAACATCGCGAAAATATTCTTAAACCGCATGGAAAACCCGATAGTGAGACTGTGACAAGACTAAAAAGAGGCAAAATCATATAGAAGTGCGGGAGTGGCCAGTCTGACGTTCTTAGATCTTACTTGCCCAGCGAAACATCAGCCGTCACCAACTATACCAAACAGCGGAATTAGGCATTGTTGCGTAAGCTGTTCAACAGTTCTTAAAGAATTTCCCAAATTATTCATATCACCATCACATTGTCGAAGAGCAATAAAATAAAGCCTTCATGTAGAGAGTATAGATTTACGCAAAAGAAACTTAAGAAATAGAGACTTACAATTTCATACATTTACACCATAATTCAATAATGGCTCACTATCGATTGGTACCGCAATTCAAATACGCCAATTTTTTACCACTCTTGTCAGTCCTCAATTAGAAAACGTAGGGATGCGTGAAACATGTCTTATCAGCCACCGCTATGAGCACAGAAAATGAACAATAGGACGGATTTTCAAGCATGAAACAAAAATTACTCGTATTTGACAACGATTCACGAATAATCTTCAAAGATTCTGTATTACCAACTGGGATCCATCGATTGAGAAATGATTATGGACCACTGTCATTGTACACTGTGCCATCACCACATACGCCTCTCTCATGCAGGGGTAAATGTGGAGCGTGGGTCACTGACGAGGAGGGAGAGGCCTCCGAAATACCGGGTATGGCCCTGGCGTACGAACCTCGCTTAGGCTTTGAGCATTCTTTTTTTTTTTTTGAAATTACAAAGAAACGATTCTCTTAAACAAGAGATATAATGGAAGCACAGTACCGTATAACTTCTTATTTATCAGAAAATTAAACACGATTATAAGAGCTGCTTAGGATTTGACAATTTAGTTGAGCCGGTAGTAGTGATTAAAATACCCTCAAATACCAATATCTTGGGCAATAGCTGTCGAGTAGCTATACTTGTGTCCTTCTATGCTAGAAGTTGAATTGTTGTGTAATCTGCCCAAATGATGAAGACGCTGATTGCATGAGTCCGAGTAAGATACACTTATTTCTAGTAAGGGATGCGATGGCGGGTCGGTCCAGTCACACTGAGTCAGTGTCAAAAACCATCGAGTTGGGAAGCTTCAAGTCAAACAAAACGGCGAAGATTTTGAAGTCGAAGTCGGATACTCACTTAGAAATTCAGTTTGCTTTAGCAAAGCACATTTGAATGACTTTGAGTGTATTCTTGGAAAAATGAAATGATGGAAAAGATGTGTCTTGCAATCATGCGTAACCGATGCGACATACCTCAGGTAGATTTTCTTGAAATCATCAAGGTACAATGGCGAATTATAAGCAATTTTGCGAGACTGGTCTCCGCTAATTTGAAGACTTGCGAAGAACAAAGATATGTGTTATGGAAAACGCTCGTTGCTTTGTGTTCCAAACTCTATTATTTCTATACCCAATATGTGCAGTACTGTGCAGAAACGTTTGCGTCAGCCGGGGTTCAAACTCAGATCTCACTTCTTTCGGGAGCGTATGCTAACAATTGCACTACCGACGCTCGTTTTGGACAGCACTCTTATTTACGCTCTAAGTGGGTTCAGTGCCGATAGCGGCTGCCCCACCAGACCGTCGACGGTTGGCTGTTGGCAGACAACGCGTTAGAGCGTAAATAAGAGTGCTGTCCAAAACGAGCGTCGGTAGTGCAATGGTTAGCATACGCTCCCGGAAAGAATGAAAGCTGGGTTCGAATCCCGGCTGAAGCAAACGTTTTTACACAGTACTCCACATATTGGGTATAGTATAAGATCATAACACTGCAAGTGGCAGTCAAAATAGAAAGAATTTAGTCTATTCTTTCCTTTATCCAGTTTCGAAAAATTAGAAAGTGTTTGACTGTGTGAACTGGATGTCAATAAGACTCGTTCACGCTCTAAAGGCGAAACCTCCAAAACGTCGTTCTGTTATTGAAATTTATTGTACTCCACAAATATTCGTCCTATCATACTCAATTCTATTTATCAAAAAACGGGAACGTTTGCTCAGTGTCAAAGTTTTTCATTAATTACCTCTTAAAAACGAATATTTCTTCTGATGTCACCCCTTTTGCTGAGAATTAATACCAGTAGATGACTTTGCTCGTCGTAAGGTTGTGCAGATTTGACTGTGAGGAGTGATTTCCACTGAGCACTCGATAAGTGCACGAATTCTTTTTGGTACGAATCCGACGGGCCGTTGTCAACAGTGTTCTATGCCTTGATTTCTGCTGTGGCCCTCTCAGTCGACCATGTCTATATTTTTCATTAGAAAATCTTGTCTTGTGTTGGGTTGCTCGTTATCTGTGTTTAACCTTTAGATTGCAAGATCTGCGCGACCAGTATTCTGAGGTGACAATTTGGACAGCAAAGTACTAAGATTTGGCAATAAAATGTGAACAGGGTGAACGTAGAAAATGAAATTATGGTGATAATAACGAAAAAAAAACGAAAGCCCAGATTCAAAATAGAAACACTGCAACTATTGTTAGATAAAGCTGACTTAATGGAAGACAAATCTACAGAACAAAATATATTTTGTTGACAGTCAAATGACATGATAATGGAAATAACACTGAATGCAGTTGATAGCGAAAGATGCTATACGCGAAGTGATGAAAAGTTTTGCGCGGGCAACGTGAAGTGGTTGGAGGTTGCGCACAAGCACATTTTCACCCACGACAGACTGAGACTCACATATAATTGTAATTGATCATCAAAACGGTTTGGCACGATAAATTCTGACTACCTGAGAATCCCATGCAATACATACATGAACCACTGCCAAAAGACTCATGAGCCGTTAACTATGTGAAATCATACTGCGGCGAAAGCTAAAGACCTATGAGATCATTCGAAACTTGTCTTCTTGACTACTGACGACTACCACGCAGTAGCATGCAAAGAACGTTTCATAAGTTGTTCATTGAAGTGGACCTCGCCAGAACAATCATTACTAATGTATCTGAATAAGATTTGACAAAGCTGCAACCAGAAATGAGTGACTTTTTGAGGTCAAGGTTTAGAGCTGCGACAACCGCCACCATCACCGCTTCCTCTGTTGCCTTTAACGTAAACAGGTTCATCGTATAACTAGCAAATATATCACACAAAAAAATATATCTCTGCATGCACTCTATCCTTAACACGGATATAGAGATTCATCACTATAACCGCAGGCTTCACCAGCAGTAAATCGCAAAAGTCAAAACAAACTATTGGTTTTTCCAGAGGGTCACACTACGATCGCTCGTTTAGTTTCAATGTGGGTGCCTCTGTGTTGAATACGATCCTAAACTCTTTCTATGTACTTTTAAGGCATTTAACATCTGTCTATTTAATTGAAAGTGCAAGGTATAGCCCGTAGCTATGTACACGCACCTACACATGAATCTATAGATACGTACATTCTGGTATAGAAGTAACGAAGCGACAAAATATAGCCAGAGAATGTTCGCCCATCAGCTTGAGATCATCGACGAAAAAAGTTCGCTGTGGAGTACACTACAAAACTTTTTTAGGCCGTATAGGACATTTGCAAAAAAGATTTCATGACGCTGCACTTCACCTGTATCACCTGTCGTCCCGCTGATAGTCGAGTGACTCGACCGGGTACCAGCAACTCTTCCATTTTTCCCTATCGCGTGCAAGAGCAGCCCAGTGGGTCCTCCTGGCTCTAGGGATTCGCTGAGCATCATATCTTTCTTCCATCGCTTTCGTGAAGAAATCGGACCAACGAGTCAGTGGTCTTCCTTTAGAGCGCTTGACGTCCCGAGGAATCCAGTCGGTAACGGCTCTCGTCTATCGGTTGTCGTTGAAGCGCATCACGTGTCCGGCCCACCTTATTTTCGATATCCTGGCGTGTAGAACGGCGTCTCTGATTTTCGATCGTTGACGTTGGTCGGAACCTCGGATCCTTTCTCTTATTTGCGAGACGGAATACTCCTAGCATCGACCTTTCGACTGCGCATTCGATAACGGCAAGTGATCTTTCATCCTGCTTACGTACCGACCAGGTTTCTGATGCATACGTCAGGGCAGGGATAATTGTCGAGTCGAAAAGGTGGGCACGGAGTCGGATGTTCTTTGTCCTCTTCACTACATCTTCGGTGCTCTTAAATGTTCACCAAGCCGCTCGTTTCCTCCTGCTCAACTCTGGAGCTAGGTCGTTCATCATGTTGATTTCGCGACCTAGATAGACGTAACTGGAGCATTCGGAGATTGTCGTTCCGTTGAGCGTGAATGGGGCGTTAGAAACCCATCCGTTCCTCATGAACATTGTTTTCGTTAGATTCAGTTGAAGACCAATCTTTTCACAGGCGTTATCGAAATCGGTCAACATTCGTTCCGCTTGGCTGATGTTTGGTGTTATGAGAACGATATAGTCAGCAAAGCGAAGATGATTTAATTGTCGACCGTCAATTTTCACTCCCATTTCGTCCCATTCTAATGTTCGCATGACGTTTTGTAGGGTGACAGTGAATAGTTTTGGCGAAATTGCATCGCCTTGTCGAACCCCTCTTCTTACGTCAATGGTGATATTGTTGTAGAATGGAGATATTTTGGTCGTGAAATCTTTATAAAGCTCATGAAGGATCATTATGTACCGAGTAGGGACGCCCTGATTATCCAGAGCCTCTATAACCGCTTCTGCTTCCACTGAATCAAAGGCTTTCTCCAAATCGATGAAAGTGAGACAGTGTGGTTGCTTGTACTCTCGTGAAACTACAATGAGCCTTGTGATTATGTGGATATGGTCTGTGGTACTAAATCCTTCTCGGAACCCTGCTTGTTCGCATGGCTGTCCTTCGTCCAGTGTTCTGTCAATCCTGTTTAGGATGACTCGAGTAAAGAGTTCATAGACAACAGACAGCAAGCAGATTGGGCGATAATTGCCTATGTCGTGAAGGTTTCCCTTTTTGAATAACAATACGGTCTTGGTGGTTTCCTATTGAATGGGAACCTTGCATTCTGACAGGTAGCGAGTGAAGAGCCGAGTCAGGGTGTTGATGAGAACTGGCGGCAGTTCTTCAAATGTTCTGGTCTAATCCTGTCTGGACCGGGTGTAGTGTTCTGTTCTTCACCGACGATACAGCATGTCGGATTTCGGAAGGAAGGACCGGTGGAACGACGAATTCGTCCTCTTTCAATTTATATGACGGTAAGAAAATATGGCTAGCGAAGAGATCCGAGTAGTATTGGTGGATGATTTTCTTCATAGCCCTTCTCGAAGCTGTAAGTGTCCCGTCAGGGTGTCGGAGTACAATCACTGCACATATCCTCCCACAAATAAGAAAAATATAGGACAGAGCAAGCATTCCCACGAAATTTTACCAAAGAACGACGAAGAACTTTGAAAACCTGTTCAACTGCCAGTGTTATGCAAGCGTGTTCTATATTGTTAGCCAGTTCCTCAGATAAATCTTTGACTAACACTGGTGAAGAACGTAAAACAGAGGGCAGATAGAACAAGAAGATCAATCTCTGAAATAACGAGAATTGGAGGGAAAGTTGTTTATCAAGAGATAGAAAGTTCATTCAAATATTATGAGTAGACTTCTAATAGAGAAAATGAACAATGGCCAAAATCCTTTGTTTTTGTGCCGAATAGAATTCAAAACATTTTGCTAGTTAAGTGAACGATTGAGTTTGAAATCTGTATAAAAGTGAGGAGATCAATGGGACATTCAGTTTTGATTTCCCGTTTGCGCTTAGTCAAATCTTCTTTATCTTTATCTCGTTATTATTTGATTTTTCAGCATGAGAATACTACTGTTTGGATGTCTTATCGCAATTGTGAAGAGCGAAAGGAACTTTGAAGAAAAGCTAAAGGTTGGAAGTGCCTTACTTAAAAATGTATGTCTCTTATTCAATCAGAGCATACCTTAGAGTGAGGGCAGAGGCAATGACTTTTCTTTCTAATCATCCACTTTCCTTAAGATCCTAATGTAGGTGATACAATGCATTTTCTCGAGAAATTGCACAGCATGGAGGAAGCAATTAAAGAAGAATTCAGTAATTCTGATGAGCCAAATGCCGGTGTAATGGAAGCGATGATGGTGAAATTTCAAGTTTGGTGGTCGATACTGGTGATTCAATAAGTCTGAGACTTTAGGAATTTGCCGACATGGAGCAGGCTCACATAAAATCCTTGGGTGATACAGTCGAAGAAGTCAACAGAAATAGCAAAGTCGATATTGCGTTGTACCAAGGAGATATCATGCTGACCAAGTTCGCCTAATTCCAGAGCCCCCATAACCGAGAGTTTTGTTGAGTAATGTCCGCGTTGGTTTTCAGAAAGCAAGCTGATGAGATTATGGAAGACATCGAAGATAACGGAGGCAATCGCAAAAAACGACAAGCATTTCTTGACGAATACTATCCGAAAACTATTTGGTCTAATTGAATGACTTACGCATTTTGGAACGCATGTATGTCTCCAAATCCTCTATCTATTTAAAGTAGTGATATAAACGCCATTAAAAGCTTTTACATTGCAGTTCAGCTGCCGAAGCAAGAAAGAATTTTCAAAGAGCTGTCACAATATAGGGCACGGAGGGTCGAATATTTATTGATTCTTTGGTGCTCAATAATTATTCAGCAAGCGAAATATAGCCAAAGCCGAAGGAGATAGAGTGATGATTGTGGAAAGCATGGGATGTTGGTCACATAGAGGAAGAATTGGAGGAGAGCAAATGCTATCGCTTGGAGCTGGATGTAAAGCTGTATGT